TAAGTATTTCAAGGAAAGAAAATATAAAAGGATATACTATCATAATGTAGAATTTTATATAAAACACGGTGTATCGTTTAAAATAATAAAAAATAAACTAAGCAAAATAAATTACTCCAACATTAAAGAAACATTCGATACAACAGTAAATCATTATTATAAAATAAAGAAAACAAACGAACAGGTAAGCAACCAATAAATTAATCCTTAACTCTCTACCAAAATTAAAAGCTACAATCAACTTAACATACTTTCATCCTATCAACCACCATTACAAAAAGTAATTCATCACGAAAAACCCCAAAACACCTCACACGCCCAATTAAAAAAAAAACCTTTCACCACGTTTCATTCATCTCGAAGAAGCATTCGCACCGAATCAACGACTACTTCCGACTGTCTTCACTCTCAGCATCCACTTCCCGAGTGATCCTCGTTCCATTGCCTATGCACGACTATTTTTACAATCACTCGAGTAACGTACTCACGTGAATTGCTCATACGGGATGTCCTGCCTTCCACACATCCTGCACGACACCATCTTGAGCCTCCGTCGAAACTCATATAATGTCACGCTCCGCGGAATACGATCATTTTCGTCGCGGCTGTCACTGCCGGACGAAGTTTCGACTCCGAGGCAACTCGCGCTCGCTTACGTATGTCCTCGTCGAGCGAAGAGGATGACGAACGTTTGGTATGACAGAGCTCTGTACGTGGACGATTCCAGGAATCTTAGTGGCATACATCGTGTCTTCAAATGTAATTTGCGTTGTTGTTTAATTGTCGAATTAGGAAGTGATTTTGTATTCTTCGGTTCGAAAGTTTCGAGGACGTTCGTTGGAGATGCGATCGTGAGTGTTAATCGTTGATAACAGTGGTGAATTTGGATTTGTGAGAGTTGGTTTCGCAGGTAGATAGCACACGGATGTCTTGTGAACGTCTTAACCCCTGAACATATGACAACCTTTCAGACACGTGGCAGAGATTTTGATCAAGATGTAAAAGAAACAGTTATATCAGTAAGACAAATTAATTGTAATCATATCTCTCGTTGGAATTTTCAAGACTGAGGATTACTAAATGTAATTAATCTGACAGATTAGCTTTTGTTACCTGATACAGTACTGAAACATTAAATGGCTGACGCTTAGATGCATTGTCAGAAAAGAAATCATAGGTTAAGGGGTTAAAGACGGCTTGTGAACGTCGAAAAGACGGCTAGAACGACGTCCAGTGTTACAAATCAGTGAAGCACTGTACGTTGGATTTAGAAACGTTTTAACCCTAGTGCGGGTCATTTTTGACCCACCGCGTTCTCATTTTTTTTTAACGACTTTTTCTGTTATCAACAAAATGCAATGAAATTGTTGCTGACATACTCGTTTGTGTTCCTTTGATAAGCATATTGGTACTAAAAATTGTTACACGTGAGTCTTTGGGTCTTTTTTGACCCGAAAGCTCTGTACCTTTTGTGTACAGTGGAATGTAGTCGAAGTTTATAAGTGTTTTGTCGAACGGAAGAACACATTAGGTTTAAAAGCGTGTTAACCCTTTGAGGACAATGGACTCATATATTCATTCACAAAACAGTTATGAATGCAACCAGTAACTTACACATTTTTAAGCAATAAAAATAGTCGCCTTCGCTATAAACTCATATACTTACTTATTTATAAGAGAAATAGAATTTCTAAATGATTTAACTTAAAAGAAATTAGAATCGTGACTTAATTCTAATTAATTTTGCAGTCCTCAGTCTGAAAAAGGTTAAAGATATAATTTTTATACGCTGTTCGAACGTCTTCAAGATGTTCAAATTAGGTTGTAAAACCATCAGACCAAAAATGGACGTAAAATGGTCATCTCTAAGACATCGTGTGCCATCTGGTTTGTGTTCGAATAATTATTATATTAATCTTTCTACGACAGAGTTTCATAGAAATCATAAAACGATTTCGTATGATTTTCTGGAGTGATTAAGTATCCTAAAATAATTTTTATCGTCCCACTTTAAAATAGAAAAATATGAATTTCTATATCAATGAAAATAATTGAAAAGAGAATAGATATTCTTGCAAAGTTTTCGTGAATTTGGGGTTAAAATTAGGTCGAATGCTTTCATTACTCAGCAAACACCTTTTCACTTTAAATGTGTGTAACTAATTGTCCAAGGAACGATCGAAATGCAGTAGTAACAGGTGTACACGTTGTACAGTTAACGACTGAAGTCTCAAGATCAGAAGTTTTAAAGGAAAGTTAGCCGAGCCGTGATGAAATCGAAGTGCAAACAACGCTAGCAAACATTTCAGTGAACATTACGTAGGAAATGGAAAAATTCTCGAATGACTGCTAAATATTTACCGTATAAGGTTTTGAAAACTAAAATCCCCTTTACATATCTTCGTTCGTCAAATTAGATTTACATCAATCTAATCGTTCTTCCTGAAAAAGTGTACAAAAATCACCTAAAAGCTTTGCATATCAAGTAAACATTTTCTAAAAAAATGTAACATAAACTAAAAACTACACTTTCTATATATCATAATTTTCTAATTCCAAATATACATCTTCTCAAACTTTAAATTAAATTTTGTTACATTTTCGTAACTAAATTTTATACACTAATTTTAAATAACTAAATTTTATTATATTTTCATAAATCATACTTTCCGTTATTTTTCTGTTTTCTCATTTTATTCTATTTTATTTTATTTCTTTTTCTTTTTCTCTTCTTTCATTTTCTTCCTTATTTTGTACTGTACATAATACCACTGCTCTGTGTGAATTTCAACGCCTGTATACTAAAGGGTTCTTAAATCCGTTGATTAACAATCAAATAAATAAATAACTAAATTTCACACACTACTTTTGAATAACTAAATTTCATTATCAAAGATTTAAGGCTTTCACTGCCCGGAGCATAATTATTATTATTAAAGCTTCCCAGTGTAAACCGTATCCTTATAGAGAGAATATCCTTCTTTCCATGAGAACTCGACTAACATCCAAAAGCCTCGACAACAATAATCAAATTTTACCATACCATCAAGTACAAGCTAT